ACGGACAAGATCCAGAACCAGAACCAGTAGATTGAACTTTCCATCGGCGTATCATCATCGGCGTGACCACAAATCCAGAAGAAAGGTATTTATCAACCCGCGATTCGGTTGTAAACTCTCTCTCTCGAACGGAATAGTATAATTAAGTCTGATAATATGCCCGATATCTCTGTATTTTCTTTGTTTATTATTAAAATTGTTATTTGTTAGAAAATATGGAGTCCGAGTGAGTCACTTCCTCGTCTCTCTCCTCACCTCTACTCCGAATCCAAGCGCTCACACGCTACCGCTCGCGTGACGTAACATCGCGATTTCCGAGTTCCCCAGAGACTCGGTGGTGTCAGATTTAGGTCTCCTGACATGGTGTCAAAGAGACACCAACCCTACGGCCACATATATATATCAGGAAGTATTTGTGAAATAGCATTTTATAGACATTTGTCAAAAATATTTGTATATTAGTAGTTTATAGATATTGTCAGGTAATTGTACAAACAATCAAATCTGTCTATAACAGAACAACAAGGGACTGAACAACTCTTCCATAGTAGACAGGTTTCCACTATATACAGGTTACCTACTAAGGTATACATTGATTATTGTGATAAATAAATTTCTCGATGTTACTGCATATATCAAAATTGTATTAATCAAATACAGTGGTACCTCAATACTTGACTGAACAATCATCACTTGCCAGAACAAATTTTCAGTTATTAACAAATATTTTTATTTTAACTTTAATTTTTTCATTCATCTGTAAAAAAGTTCTCTAAGATAAAAATGAGTAACAAATTTAAAAATAAAATAAAACCTTACAGCTGCCTACCTTCATCTGACAAAATTATACTCAATTCAGTTCATCTTTTCATAAGTGAAAAAAAAAAATGCACGTGGAACACAATCATCAGCATGTTTTACAACCATTTCAAGTAGATGTAATGTTTCAACAATACATGTCTGTGACACAGTAAGATTTGTTAAAAATTCCTCAATTTTTAATAATTTCCTCCTGCAATTTCACATCAACAGCTTTTGGGGCCCATATGATTTGTACCCTTTAGTTCAAAATTTTCAAAATGAAACTTTCAAAACCACACTGGACACATTTGGAGTTTAGAAGCATCTTCCCCATATGCAGTATGAGTACTGCATAAGGAGATGATGAGTTTGAGTTTTTTAATGTTTGTATAGCATGATATCCTTCATGAAACTTAAAAAGCATGCATAATATGTCTGATATGCATTTTATCTGCAAACATTTCAATTTGATTTTATTCAAACAAAATGTGATGCCAAAAAGTTTCACATAAAACATAGAATACAATTTCACATCAGGAATAACAAGTTAAATTTCACAACTTATAATTACATCACATATTTATGTTAAGTAAAAACAGCTGTTAATAAAAATACACAAAAACTTTACGTTTAAATCTCAATAAAATTACTGTATTAGTTGTATAAATAAAGTATTTTGCTATTCTGTATTGCATATGTGTATCTTTTACTTTTTTTTATGATTTATACACACTAGGCTTGTAAACTTCTTGTTAAGTTTGAGTTAAATTGGGTAAAAAATATACTGATTTTTCCATTATACAGCTCGATTTTCCTTTCCATTTCCACATTGGACAGGTTCCACTACATACAGGTTAATTTACATTCATTTTGCAAAAAATTCAATGGACTGAAGAAATTTTCCAAATTAGTGACAGGTTTTTGCTACATACAGGTTTGACTGTATTAGTTTAGTTCATTTGTGTTAGCACTAATATCAGTTGTCTTTTCAATTTTCATATAATTCCCAATAAAATTCATTCCCAAGTGGGTGGGAATTACAAAGTAAAATAGCAAGATATACTAAAACTCTTAGCTTAAATACTGTTGCTTGATCAAGCCATTTTTCTTTATCATTTTTTTTCTTTATAGATTCTCCCCTCCCAAATGGCTACTTCTGGTCTTTTGTACATCTAGCTTTTCCTAGTATTGGTTAGCCTCAGGCAGTACTTCCAAAAATACAGTGGGTTACAGGATGGTATCAAGGTAGAAGAGGACATTGAGTGTGCTCATGACACAAGAAGGAGATGAGATAGCAAACATGGAAAGGCTGATGAAGGAGGACTAAGAATCTATCCCCATTGTAAATGGATTTAACAGGATTTCATCAATAAAGTATTATCTGGGTTAATAAGTCCCTAAGTTTTGTTTGAGAGTATTAGTTTTGCCTAAAAACAAGTTTTTGTTTCCAATCTGAATCACTCATTTGTGAAGACAATAAACATATATGAGAAGACCAGGTGTAGCATGGAAGAAGTAAGTGAAACTCAAATACAAACCTTTTTAAAAAAAGAAACCCTTACGAAGAACAAAGGGGGAAATAGAAGTTCTGCTAACTGTTCTTTTGTCAATCTATCATAATTTTCTTAAAATTTTTACTAACTGGGCTTTCTAAACCTTTGGACCTTAATAGGTATAGACAATAGAAGTATGTTAGATTAACTTTTTTTTTTATATTTTCTTTTCCTGTGTTTTGTTTTTTGGTTTGAGTCACACCATTTTATTTGTGTCATGTGTAAAGAAACAAACTAATTTTTTCCAAAAAGGTATTTTGTATATCACTAGTGAAAGATACTGTTAATAAAAAAGAAAAGAAAACTTTTATTTATGTTGATGAATTTTCAAATTTTTTCCCAGCTTACAATGATTCTGCAACAAAATTTTAACAGTTAACTGGAATGATGATAAATTTATTATGAATATCACAATGCTGACATCTTATTCTAACAATTATAGGAAAATGTAAATACCATATTTACACAAGTATAGACCACAGTTTTTACCCTAAATTTTTTGACTGAAATTGGAGTGCAGCATATACACAAGCTAATAAATAATTTTAAAGCAATTTAAAATTAGGTAGGTGTCAACAAGCCACTGCGACATTGAAATTTAATGCTGAATCACTAGCTCAAATCGTGCCATAAAACGTCTTCCTCAGCTGTAACTTCCCTTAAATTTGCTTTCGAGAATTCTTATAATTTTGGGAAATTCTTCAAGCTTCAAACTTAATCATTTCAACAGACAAAAAATCCATTTGCCTGAATTTCACAGATATATCTCAACAGATTTGCTTCCAGGTCAGGATATTTTGCTGTCTTTCCATGAAACAATTGCTGATTTTGTGATGTTTTCTGAAGAGTATCCTTTGTTTGAATCCATCATCACACTTCTTTTCATCTACATCAAACTTTCTTCCTGCTTTATGATTTTCATTTTCTTGTGCATAATGCACCACTTGCAATTTAAACTTTGCTGTTTAACTCACTGCATAAACCAAGTTTAACATGCACTGAGCAGATATTCAATAATAAGCATTAACATCACTTCATCCCTTTGAAATTTGCAGTGTTACTATATTTTTGTATTAAAATTTTAAATCCTTTATTATTTTGAGTTATTTTTATCTTATTATTTTCAGTAAAAGATGGTAATGATTTAATTAAAAGCATAAAATTTGAATATATTTTATAGAAATCAAGAAATGTTCTATCAGAAATGGGAAAGAAAAATAAGATTACTTTTATATTTGAATTTTTAACTATTATGTGTAGTAAATAAAAATAAGAGAGTATTTTCAATTAATTGTTCTTTGATTTAGATTAGTAATTCTTATTTATATTCATTCATTTATATTGTAATAAGTATAAATAAATTGAAAGCATCTCTACTCTCATCCCTCAATGGAATTTTGAGATTTTTAGTTTTTCCAAGTACATCACTTCAGAAACAGGGTATGGCTTACATACATGTGGCCTATACATGCCTAAATATGGTAATCAAAAATGCTTTTTTCAAAATTTTTTATTATTGCAGAAGACAATGTAATAGAGCAATAACAACTGCTATTCATTTTTGGAATTGCTATAACTGTACATGAATACTATTCTTTGAAAATAAAATCAGTCTGAATTAATTAATTAAAAATGTGAGGTAAAACAACAGCAGGTATTGAAGGAAAACCAATAAAAAAAAAAGAAAAAGGATATATTCAGGACTAAAATGTGTAGAATACAATTTTAGGATTTGCTAAACATACTTGATCAAAAGAAAAATGAATTCCAATAAACAAAAATTATTGTTAAAATACGATTAAAAATATAAGCAATTTTTAATCATAGTTTTAATTTATTAATTTTAAAACATATCTTATGATCTCGATCTGACATTAGTTGTGTCTTGTCCCTGTACATCACTTTTCCCAGTCATGCCAATCATCTATGTAACTCTGTTCTGGGGAAAATTTTTAAATTGAAATTACATGACTTCTAGTCTAGACCAGAAGTTCAAAGTACACAGTTAAAGCCTCCTGCCCATAAGCTTTCCATCTCTGGTCTTAACTTTCATCTATCTAACATCATTCTTGAAATTAAGGAAGGACAAACAGCCTGATGAACAACAGTGAAAAATTATAGGTCCACAATTTTTTCAAATTGCAATCCAATTAAATCACTAGAATTAAGACTGAAAGGAAGAATTGTGTGAAATGTTAAATATTGATTCTTAATCAATTTATAAATCTTGTATACTTTATTGTCTAGAATGTGACTATTAGAATGAGCTACAACATGCTTAGAAATTCTAGGAATACATTCCCATAAGGTTCCGGAATTAGAAGCAAACCTTTTTATAAATCAAATGAAATTTTTCTTACATAAGTATCTCAAAGCCTGATAATTATATTAAAGCCAAATGATTGCCAGATTAAATCAGTCTATATTATCGCTGCTATTAATAATTAAATACTGGGTAATTTGGAATTAGAGAATAAAAGAGAAAATTTAAGCACCTAGAATTTTGTAAATTATTTAATAAATATTAATTAAATTATAATTTATTAAGTTTAATAATAGATGACATATAACACCTACCTCTAGTGTCAAACTACTCAGTATGTAATTATTAATAGTAGTAACAATATAGTTCAATTTGATCTGGCAATTATTTAGTTTTAATGGAATTTTTCTTTATATTTAATTTGATATTCCTAATATTATTTAAGAGTTATGCCTTTTTAGATTTTTTATTCCAAAATTATTCTTGGGTCCTGACTATTGTTGACTAATAAGGAGGACAACCTTTTGTCCTCATTATTAGCATAAGATCCAAAGATCATGTGTTGTTACATTCTGTTATAATTAATTAATTATGTTCATTGAGTAAACTGAGTTGTCATTTATTCTCTTAGCATGACCATCATTCTAATTGTTGTCCTAACTTGTGTAATACTGGTGTTGGTTAATGAACCAAAATAGAACTTTTCTACAAAAGTATATTATTTTAGAAATAAAGCATACCTGAATTATTTTATCACCAACAATAGCATCTTCTCTAATAACAGCACTATATGATGATTGCATAAATACTGGAGAATTATCATTTTCATCAATCACAGTAATATTAACAGTTGTCTGACCATATAAAGGTGGTGTTCCACCATCCATGGCTTGAATGATTAACATATATTCATGTACAGTTTCATAATCTAATGATTTGGCCACTGATATTATACCTACCAGAAATATATTATAATATATAAAAATGTTCTTTTGAATACAATAAATAAGCAATAAAATTATTTAATTATCAGATTTAAAAATATACTTATACAAAAAATTAGACTATTGACTCTTGGGAATAGTTTTCAATCCATTATTAAAATCCAAAATTAACATAAGAAAATAAAAAGAATAAGTATATTACAAAAGTAAAATAAAACTTTACATTGAATTTAAAAACAGGTTCCTAAAAATCCAAATTATCAAAAATACAGAATAAGCCAATTAACCATTACTACTACATAAGAAAACATGCCTTTTTATTTCTAGCAATAGTTTAACACCTTAAAATCATTTTTGACTTATTCATAGGTCTTTCTCAGTTAGGACTAACAAATCGAATACATAAACAGTGTTTTAAGATTAAAATCAAACAAAATACAAATTTCAAAATTTGGAAGTTCTAAACATCGCAGACTGATCTTCACAGTTTGAACTAAAGAGTTACTAGAAATATGTGATTGCCATCCACATGTTCAAAGAAAAATAATGTGAGAGAGAGAAAGAAAGGTAGGGGAGAGGGTTGTAAAATTAATTTAAACTTTATTGATCAATTTCCTTGCAGGGGAAAGGAATTTACATCTCTAAAGTTGAAAGCTGCATTTTATCTCTTGGCTTTGTATATTTCTAATTGTTCTAAATATCTAAGCTGTTCTTTGTGGGAGGTGCTATGTAGGAGTTGTGCTTGGTCAAAATATACATGTCAAGGTCAGAGATGAAGATTGCTAATGCAATGTTGGCCAGCCATTTTGAGAGGAAAGTTTGATGTTCTTTGAGGTGGGTATTTAAAAGTTGCCCTGAATATATATATCTCACTAACCATATGAAGCTTTGCAAAAGTTTTAACGTACCATGAACGTTTTCAGTCCACCTTAGGACCTTCTTCAGGTGGAATTCTATTAGAGAAAACGTTTTTCGGTGCATTTTCATTTTATTTCCGTTTCTGATGTGTTCCAAATTTTCTTTCAAATTTTCTTTTAAATTTAAACCTATAACAATGTGCACCTGTGTCAGCAACTATTATGCCAAATCATACATAGCATGCCATGCCCTCAAGAGTAGTTTTTCATCCTTAAAATTGATTGAAAGGCCTTGAAATTCTGCTTTAAAGATTTCTAATGCCTCCAAATTCCTAAGCTGGTGTATCTGCTGGGTTTGTTGGATCATGGTCGCCTGCTGTAATTTGGGTGTAATGATAGATTTGATAGAGATCTTGTATATATCGGATCTACAAGAAGAGCACTCAAACAATGTCTCCATGAGCATAAAACCAACATCGAGAAGAAGAAGAAGAAGAAGAAGAATACTGCCTTAGCTATATATGCCAGTGAAAACGTCATTACACCCGAATTACAGCAGGCGATCATGATCCAGCAAACCCAGCAGATACACCAACTTAGGAATTTGAAGGCATTAGAAATCTTTAAAACAGAATTTCAAGGCCTTTCAATCAATTTTAAGGATGAAAAACTACTCTCAAGAGCATGGCAGGCTATGTATGACCCTGCATTATAGTCGCTGATGCAGGTGCACATTGTTATAAGTTTAAATTTAAAAGAAAATTCAAAAGAAAATTTGGAACACATCAGAAACAGAATGGAAACACACTGAAAAAGATTTTCTCTAATAGAATTCCACCTGAAGAAGGTCCTAATATGGACTGAAAACGTTTGTGGTACGTTAAAACTTTTGCAAAGCTTCATAAGGTTAGTGAGATATATATAAATCAACGCTTTGTTTGTTAAGATGGATTTTATTGGTTGCCCTGAAGCACCCATGTGAGATGCACCCATAAATATAAAGGCACAACTTGTTATGTGAATAAAAGCTAAACTAGTTATCATATAACAAAACCAATTTAATTTTGAGGTAGTTACAACTTACAAATAAACATACTAAAAAATCATGTAATTATATTGTTTAACAACTTAATTTATTGTTAATTTAAATCAAAATCATGTTTCTCGCTGTCTCAAAAATATAAATATAGGTTTGATTTTTTAACCATAGAGGTCATACTACAGTACTAAAGTGTAACTGCCACATATTTCAAATGTTTATTTCTGTTATGTATTGATGTAAATGAATTGTTTTTCATCATGGAACATGGAAAACCTTTAACAGATGTTAAAAATGGCAAGTTTTCTGCTTTAAGAGATGAAAATTACTCAGCAAGAGCAATTTCAAAGAAAATTAATTGTTCTCCAACTGTAATTGACAATTTCCTAAAGCTTGGAGAAAATACAAACAAATGAAATCAACAGGTTGACCTCCAAAGCCTACAAATAGAGGAAAACATTGCATTTTGAGGGAAATCAAAAGCAACTAAACATTTTTACAAGAACTAGCATCTAAACTAGAGTTTAACGTATCAAAATCTACAATTTGAAAAATTGTTAGTACATGTCAGCATCTCATCTGTAAGAAGAAAAAGCCTGCACCATCACTAACCCTCATCCATAAGCAAAAGAGCTTGCAGTGGACATGGAAGATAATGGGATAGACAGACACATGAAAACACATCATCTGGAGTGGTAAGAAGTTTAATCTCAATGGACCAGGTAGTTGGATTTGATATTGGCATGATTTAAGGAATGAGGAACAAATATTTTCAAAACAGAAGTAAGTGGAGGCTCAGTGATGATATGGGGTGGGTTTAGTTGGCAAGACAAATATTGCATTCCCCAGTGGCTGAATGAATGAAATTATCATCAAGATATGATAGAAAGTTATCTTTTGCCTTGGGCTGATGGAAATTGTTGGTTTTTCCAACAAGATAATGCCCCTATCCACACAGCTAAATCAGCTTATGAGTAAAATTGTGGTTCACTTCACGCCACATTTATAAATTAAAAATTTGACACTTCCGTGTTGCGGCGTTATTGCGAGCACGTCTGAAATTTAACAAATCGCTGTCAATAACGCCGCAACATGGAAGTGTCAAATTTTTAATTCAACTTATGAGTAGTTTTTAAGTAATGGAGTCCCAGTTATTCATTGGCCAACTCGTTCTCCAGATTTAAATCCAATGGAAAACCTCTGGGGAATCTTAGCTAGAGATGTATGTGCTAATGAGTACCAATATAACAGTGTAGATGAGTTAAAACATGCAATTAACATCCATTGGGAAGAAATAATTACAATAGTCATTCAAAAACTTATACAATCAATGTCAGACCATATCTACAAAGTTATAATGAAAAAGGGTGTAAGGAACAAAATCCGAGCATTATTTTTATTTACTTTTATTTTTGCTTTTTATTATATTTTGTTTGGGGCTTATGTTTTGTTAGGATGAAGGTTTCCTCACCATTCATCTTAGAAACTTAAAAATAGAAGAGAAACCAACTCACCAATGAGAGAAAAGCGCCATAGAAAAAACTCGTGCACACTTGCGCTCCTAAGCGAAAAAAATAGGTCCACACCGAGAACCTTAAAGAATAATAATATCCCGAAAATTGTCAAAAAGGATAATGTAAAAGGTTAGCGAGTAATGTTGAAAAATAGGCTGCCAAACAAACAGAAAATTTATTGTTAGTGAATAAGTATGTAAATGAGGGGAGTGATTGCAGTCAGAATTGTGACGTCACCTCACATTATAAAGACTGAACGTCAAGTGAAGACGGATGAGGTGAACTCCAGTTAGCAACGAGCTTGGTGAGCTTCGTAGCAGTGAACGAGAGAGGTGTCCTATAGGATCAAATAGTTCCAAGGCGATTTTGAAGTTATTCGATTTGTGGATCGACGAATAGAGAAAGTCTTGAGAGTTGAGGAAATAGGTTCCTATATATATAGTATATTGAGGTGACGATTAGGATCTTTAATTCAGAAGAATTATTGTAGATAAGTTAAGTCTTTGAATTTTGTCGAATTCCAAAGGGGAATAGATTTAAGTTAGAAACTAGATTGATTTGAATTTTGTCAGGTTGTTCCTTATTGATTTTCATTGAATAAATTGTTGTTTGATTTTTACTAAATTTTGTAAATAGTTATTATTAGAATTATTTATTAAATATTTGATTTTGTTATTGACAAACTTTGTCATTATTTAATTTCGGTGCACGCTAAAAGTCCAGGGCTGGCAAACTAACGCAAATCCGCATAAAGTACCCGTTAGGGAATGTTAGGGAAATGGAATATATTATTTCCGACACACAGTCGTGTCGATAATCGTTGGAAAAGTCGGAAAAATAATATAGTACTTTACAAGGGGAAGTATATTAATTATTAGTTGATTAATATTAAAGATTTGTAACAATACTTTCTACTGTTCTAGTGATTTTCTATTATGCCTTTATATTTTTGGGACAGTGAGAAACATGACTTTGATTTAAATTATTTGTAAGTTGTAACTACCTCAAAATTAAATTGGTTTTCTTATATGATAAGTAGTTTAGCTTTTATTTGCATAACAAGTTGGCCTTTGTATTTATGGGACGCACCTTATTCCAAGTTGTGATTGGCTCTGTGATTTTTAACGGAAGTATATATATATATCAGGTTGGAGAAGCATAGCTGAATAGTCTTTAGCATTGTGGAGGAGAGTGAAAACTGAGAAACTTATGAAAGTTAATCAAAAGTTATTATTTCTGGCAATTTCCTTGTGCAGGGCAGCCAGTCTTCTGTCATACATAACACCCTTGTATATGGTGTCATGGGAACGATTGTTATGCACAATGAAGGTGGCAGAGGAATGACAATGAATTAGATGTTTGATGATGTTTGGAGAGTAATCAAGTTGTCTAGCATATCAGGTGACAGTTTGGAGTTCCTTTTTCCCGTCTTAAGTGTCAGAAAAATGGGTGAGGGCTCAGTGAATTAGAACACTAAAGTCAGCCATCTTGAAGAACAAAAAGATTGTAAGAAGGGTCAGGTATAAAGATTGGATGATTTGTAGGCTTCCTGTACACTTTGGTTAAGATGTATCCACTGGATAAGGTAAGTTGGTCAAAGAAGTGGCCTCCATTCTTGCTCACTGTCTTAGTTGGTCTTTCTCTTCCTTTCTTTCTGAGAAGTTTGCCTTCAAGGATAGTTTTTAGGAATTATTGTCCTAATAATGTGACCTATAAATTTTCCTCTTACCTGTTTCCTATATTAACTTCTTTTGTTCTGTCACTTCCCTCAGAATTGTTTCATTTGTTTTCTGTTCAGTTCAACTTATTTTATTTACTCTCCCCTTCATACTCACATTTATGCTGCTTTCAGACAGATTCTCTCTTGCTTTCCTAGTGTCAAGCATTCATTTCCACACAGCAAACTGTTCCAAAAAAATTTCTTAGTAAATATTTTCTTTGCTTCCATACTGAAGTGTTTTAATATTAAAAGATTTATTTTGCTTTGGAAAGCTTGTTTCATTAGTCCAATCCCTTTTTTTTATCTCCTTTATATACTTTTTATCTTCTGTGAGGGCCTGATGAAAATTTATTTTGTGGTCTGAATGTTGGCAATCAAATGGGATATTAAAGAGCTCAATTTTCAGAAATGAACAAAGTAAGATTTAATGGTCTCATTTAAATAAAGAAAGTATTCAAACAGAAAACAAAAGGTGAATTGTGTGGAAAAGGTCAAAGTTAAGGGAAATGTAGTTAGAAAGGAGTTGGGTTTAGTTGCAAAGTTGACCTCTTCCGCACCGCTGAAAGGTTTCAAATTGTCACCAGACAACAAGAGGACAATCAAAGAATGAAATCAGGGGGTAAAACATATAAAAACACATGATTCAAGAATGCAATGTTCTTGGTTCATAGTTCTCCCATCTTGAACTTTTGTGATTCAGTAGAAGATCAACGGAAGATTTTCCAGCGATGTTGGGAAATCTTCCATTAAACCTCACTCTGCTATGTTGTCCTGTTCCACCCAGGTTCACCTAAATGTTTGCCAGACAAATATTGCTCAAAGCCGTGCCATGTGCCCTGGGCAATCAATCTTTATGTCATCCTTGCAGGACCAAAGAAAAATGACAACCAGAACATTCAGACTTTATTCAGACTTGCTTCTTGCTCCTTTCTGTCAACCATTTAATTTAATTTAAAGAATTGCTGTAAGAAAACGTTTTATATTTTAATAAACAGGTTAACGATGGAAAGCCTGTCTCAGAGGGTCTTTTATGCTCACATACAATAGTTATGACCTCTTGACTGTCATGCTCACTCACACTTCCATTATTTTTCTCCCTAAATAACTAAAATTCCTTTCTTGTTCTACCTCCTGTCAACCATAATGTTGTTTAGATTTTGTCTTTCTGTTTTTTTTTTCTATTACCATCATCTTTCTATTCTTAATCTTTATTTTCAAACCCTATTGATATAAATTTCTGTGCAGTATACAAACCTATAATGCATCTATACAGATTGTATACTTTATCAATTATACAATCTCTATGCAAATCCTTATGGATCGAAAATAAAGTTAGACCAATAAAGTGCCAAAAATGTGCATTTTCTGGATGTCTCACTCACACTAACAGAAAATGCCATCACCACAAATATTTAAAGAAAACCAACTTATAACCCACTGTTTATAACATGGATTGCCCATGATTCAATCAGCTGTAAACTGGCAGCATCCAGGACTCTTATCAGAAGAACCCATACAGACTGCATGAACATATAATACAGAATATGAGATCTTAAATATGTTAGAGCCATCAAACACTAATTTGGATTTAAACTAAAACCGTAATAGCTATGATCAAGAGTTGCATGCTAAGAAAGAAAGGGGTTCAAAGAAAAGGCATGCAAACAAAATACACAGTGGTTAATAATAAATTTGTTTTATTTTTACCTGATTTTGGATGAATTGTAAAATCAACTAATCCATTTCCATCAATTAAACTGTATGAAATTTCAGCATTTATTCCACTATCTCTGCTTGTTGCAGCAACTCTTATTACTTTAGTTCCTGGAGTAGAAATTTCTGAAACTGTAGCAAAGTAAAATCGTTGAGTGAATTCAGGAGGATTATCATTAACATCTTGAACCATAACTAATAATGTTGCTGATGTTGATAATTGAGGTGTGCCATGATCTTCTGCTTGAATAGTTAAATTGTACATAGCTTTCTCTTCCCTGTCTAATGGTTTTTTTAGCTGAACAATGCCTGTTATTTTATCGACAGCAAAATGTTCATGAGCAGAATCAACAAAAGAATATGTTATCTTCCTGTTATATCCTATTATAAAAAAAGATTAATTCATAAGTAATTTATTAATATAAAGAAATATATTGCTCTATAAAACTAACAAATTCAAAAAGCTTTTCTTTCTACTTTACATTTATTAATACTGTTTACGCTCAATTTTACAAAATCTGATAACAGCAGACAAAAATCTTCTTGTTCAGGTTGTGTCAGAATGAATATACATTATTTTGGATTCTCAGACTGACTGTTAGTGCCGAGAATATCTACAAGGTAACAAATTAACAGACATTACATTCCTTCTTGGAACACCACACTTGTTTCTCCTCTAAGATAGTCTGTATATTCAGTTATTACTTGTATACCCAATACAAAGTTCATTTTGTACTTTATCATAAAAAAATTAATTCACACCTTAGAGAGCATATCCAGCAAAAAGTTTAATGATACTAAAACATTTTCAATCTAAATTGCTAGGTCTTTATCAGTTGAACATTTCAAAACATAACATATTTGAATAAAAAGAACATTCAATATATTCCAGTAGAATATAACAAATTATAAAATCTTAAATAAACAGAAAATAAAATAATTATAAATTANTTCGTATTAGTTCTTTGTTTCGCATAACACGGCAATTTTTTGGAACGTAACTACCGTGTTATACGGGGGTTACCTGTACCAAGAATTATAAAGGTCAGGAATGCATGGTTACTCCTTTGAGGATTAACCTAACGATTATGGCCGATTCTACTCAGGTGGTCGATACAGTTCGCCGAAACTGTTAAATTTTCTTCCACAAACTTCCAGGAATCACTCAAAATCAGGCATGCATGGTTACTCCTTTGAGGATTAACCCATCGTGTATAGCAGCCTTAAGAGACAGACTTTCCCGGAATATTTATGTCCTGGGGTGGTGAGAAAACATTTATTGGTTGAGACAAATACAAGAAAGCAAATCAAAGCTTATATAGCTACGAACTTCATTTCATTTTTTACATTACCTTCATTATATATTTTGTGGTTAACTTTTTAAATTATTTTATCGCTAACCGACGAATAGCAGCTTATCGGCAAAACTAATAATAGTACAGAGAAGTCAAATCGCAGGGGGCCCCTGTAAAGTTGGCTATTCAAAGGAGATGATGCCATTTAGGAACCAATTTTAACAAATTGAAAAAAAATTGAATAATAAAATAATAATGTAGAAGTCAAGGACAGTCAAGTTAGAGCTCAGAGACTTTCATGTGATAGATAGCAAGTCCACATCCCTGTAATTAGTAAAAGTGGAAGTTCTATTGGTTTGTACTGTAGTTCTATATTTCTAAGGTGTCTAAATGCCTAAGTGTGTTGAGGTCCTTAGCTGGTCTAACAATTGTAGTATCTTCCCATTTGACCTGTACTTCCTGTTAGGTAGCACATGCTATCTTCTAATGTTGTGTTGCAACGATTTTTATTGATGGTATTGTGAAAATCCAAACTTTAACAAAAAATTAGTCATCGATTTTGTCATACCTACTTAATAATTGTTGTCATCTACTATCCGAGAACATCTCGATTTACATTTTCTTGAAAGCAAAAGCAATGCTTTCCTGTGATTCCTTAACCTCCCGGCCATGTGTTACCAATCTGAATATCGTAATTGACAGCCGAAAGAGGCAGTCGCCACCTAATTCTCCCCAATGTAAGAAGTCACCACCAAGTCTATAATGGGGGTCATCACCTGTTCCTCTAGGATTAAAGTCCTCAAAATTTCCTGTGTCTGTGCCAAATTGTATTCAATTGGATTTTCACCCTCAACCAACAGCACCGGTGAGGACAAATTGTCCTGACGATCTTGAACCAGACTTTCCCAATCCAGAACCTTCCGATAATCTTCCAGAATGATAATGGACAAGAGCCTGAAGTCTCCATAGTCTCAATGAAATCTATTACCACCTTGTGGACGTCCTCAACTCAACGGATTTATCGACTCGCAAATGAATGTAAACTCTCTCTCTCTCAAGAAACAATTTCATCAACTCCTACAAATCACACACTCATACTCTAAGGACATACAAATGGAGTTTGCTTTAGACAAATGCAAAAAACTTCACATAGAAAAAGGAATTCTGAAGAAAGAAGATTTTGCACTTGGAAATGGAGACATTATTGAATCCATGGAAGAGGGTGAGTATTTAGGATTCCAACAGACCAAACTAACATACATGCATACAAGAAAGACTTCAGCCATATATGAGGTGTTTAGCCAGCAGAAAAGAGGGTAAGGGAAAGAAGGAGGGAGAGAAGAAAGGTAGGATCCCTCTGAATGGCTTATGGATGGCTACAGTACCCTCTATGTTTGATGTTGGCATGCAGTTTTTAGGCTGCAAGGCAATAGTCCCCCGAAGAGTCTAAAAGAAAACCTGAGTGTAGCAAACACTAATGATTCAGTGGCGTCACTAACAGGCCAAACTAACAGAACATACACAAATAAAGCAAAGATTAATTAAAGAATACCAAAGTAGGTTAAATGCCATTCTCAAAACACAGCTAAATGCAAAACACACAGTTAAAGCAATAAACACATATGTCATCCCAGTACTCACATACTCTTTTGGAGTTATACATTGGACTCACACAGATCTCGAGCAACTCCAAAGGAAAACAAGAACAACACTTACTAAGCATAAACAACATCACCCTAAATCTGCCACAGAAAGATTAACCCTTCCACGTAAAGATGGCGGACGTGGCCTGATTGACATAGTTAACCTTCACTACAAACAAATACAGTCACTGCGAGAGTTTTTCTACAGGAAACAAGAAACATCACAATTACATAAAGCAGTAACTCTAGCATACTCAAATAACACACCATTAAACTTACATTCACATCATACAGACTTGACACAACATATAAAAAGGATAGACACCATAAAGCAATCGTGGGCTCGAAAGGCACTCCATGGCAGGCATCCTTATAACCTGGCCCAGGATTTTGTTGACAAAACTGCGTCAAAAAGCTGGTTAGATCGGGGATGCCTCTTTGGGGAGACGGAAGGATTCATGATTGCCATACAGGATCAGGTCATAAATACTAAAAACTACAGAAAACACATACTCAAAGATATAACACTCACAAATGATATATGCAGAAAATGGCACATCATGCCAGAAACTATACAACACATCACTTCTGGTTGCAAGGACCAAAGAGCTTGCAAAGAAACACAAATTGGTAGACATCCACGAACCATACTATCTATATATATAACCCATTCAACGGGTATCCGTCTACCATCTGTCCCGTAACCATTTGATAATGGACACTAGAGGCGCTCCTATCGTGTGTCATATTTCAAACATTCAAATTAACAATTTTAATTCTTATTTAAATTAACAATATAAATTTTTATTATTCATTTGGCCAATAAATTATTATTTGGTCAATATAACAATATAAATAATTCAGTATATTTGTAATAGGAATTTATTATTTCAGGGGCTTATATCTCTCGAAGGGTCGTGAGTAAGGGTATGGTTCCTTTGAGTTTATTGTTAGTACAGGGGTCTACGGTTTTGGGGGTCGCCACCTCTTCATTCGGAGGGTAAATCTTACCATTCGGATTTTAACAGAGCTGTAGAGCATATTGATAGGAACAAAAAAGTCAAAGGAACCGTGCCTGATGGAAATTTGTAAAGAATGTCCACTAGGGGGCGTCCCAGGCTACTAGTAAGTATATACCACAAACAGTATTGGGAAACAACACATATCAAATGTACTATGACAGAGCCATAATCACAGATAAAACAATTTACCACAACAGACCAGACATCACACTCATTGACAAACACAATAAAATCACATACATTATAGACATATCAATTCCAAACATACACAATATACAAAACACATTCACTGAAAAAATTAGTAAGTACACAGAACTCTCCCAGGAAATAAGGCATCTGTGGAGGATGGCTAGGGTGCTTATTGTATCTGTTGTTCTCTCCTGTACAGGTGTCATACCACACACACTACACAAAAGCCTGGGAACATTACAACTGAATAGAATTACATACATCACATTACAGAAGGCCACTATATTGAATACATGCCATATTGTTAGGAAATTCCTGAATACAGACACACACACTGACACACTTACTTAATTTAGTTTTGTTTTGGTTGCTATGCCTTGACTCTGGTCCAGAAAAGTATACAGTCACCAGTGTCAATAGAACTTTTTAACCATGACCTTCTAAATAGTTCTTTGAAAATTATTATATGATGAGGTGAAAATAAGTGAATATTTATTAAATTTTAAAATATAAGCTCTGGAGGTAATAAATGGCCGCCATCGTTTAGACGAAACCTGGCCGTCTTTCTCCATCCATTTACATCTCCACAAAGACTGTCTTTATCAGAAGGTTGTAAACGTGAATTAGTTAAGTCCACGACCACGTTTTAAACTAAAACAACATTTATATAACAACATTTAACAATCCTCGAGTACACTTGAAAGAGAGCTACACGTGCTCATGGCAGCGATCACCCGACAAGAAGAAAAAGCAACAATACCNCACGTTTTAAACTAAAACAACATTTATTTACAACAATCCTCGAGTACACTTGAAAGAGAGCTACACGTGCTCATGGCAGCAATCACCCGACAAGAAGGAGAAGCGACAATACCCAGAATCCTCTCTGGGAAAAACCCAGTTTCCGTTTTTCCATCCGGGATTCACGGAAAACTTGTAGAGGAGTGGCGCCATCTCACCAGTCTGTGATTTGTCGCCGCAGTACCCCCCTCCTAGCGACCGCGATCGATGAATCTCACTGGGGGTTTGATTTTGCGGCCATGTCGTGAGGTCTTCGTCTCATATGCGGGTTCTGGTTGGTGAGTATGCCCAGCCATCTTGTTGCTGGGTTGGTCTATCACTGGCTGTGCAGGGCTGATTGAGTCTTTCTCCTTGAGCATAAAGGCAGGTTTCAGTCTGTTGATGGAGACGACCACTTCTTTGTTATTTTTTTTAATTTTGAAGAATTTGTCTTTCTTTTCCACTACAGGGAATGGTCTGTCGTAGGGAGGGCGTAGTGGGGCACGTACAGCATCGTAACGTAGAAAAACGTGGCTACAGTCTCTTAAATGCATGGGAACAAAAAGTTTGGGCTCCCCATAAGATGCTGCCGGCGTTGGTGTTAAGTTTTTGAAGAAAGACTTTAGTGTCTTTATGAAATCTGCAGTGTTTATGTCCGCTGGGGTAGGATCGAAGAATTCACCTGGTAAACGTATTGTCTGTCCGTAGACTAACTCACAGGACGTTGCTTGTAGGTCAGGCTTGAACGTTGTCCTTAACCCAAGTAGTACGGTAGGGAGTATCTCCGTCCACCGTTCTGTTAAGTAGGTTTTCAGGGCACATTTTAATGTCCGATGCCAACCTTTGATCATACCATTAGCCTGGGGTGAAAGGAGCATGTATGTATGTGCTTGGAACCCATTAGAATAGCCAAAGACCGAAACAAACGTGATTCAAATTGGTGTCCCTGGTCAGTAGTAATGACCCCTGGAACGCCAAACCGAGCTATCCACGTTCGGTATAAGGCTTTAGCCACAGTGTCGGCCTCTATATCCTGCAGTGGTTCTGCTTCAACCCAACAAGTATATCTGTCAATCATAGTGAGACAATTACAATGATTTCTGGAAGGAGGGAGCGGACCAATAAGGTCAATGTGGATGTGATAGAAACGTTTGTTTTCCACGGGGATGCTTGTAATTGGACTTTTAGTATGTCTAGTAATTTTGACGCGTTGGCAAGGAATGCACGTAGTTGTCCACTTGCGACAGTCAGCCTCCATGCCGGGCCATACGAACCGATCGGTTATTAGCTTCACCGTGGCTTTACTGCCTGGGTGCGAAAGGTCATGCATGGCATGGAAAACTGCTTGCCTTTGCGTATCGGGAATAAAAGGGCGAATCTTACCGGTGGACACATCACAGTACAGTTCTACTTGATTTTCTGGTAATATTAGTTTTTTAAGCTGTAGACTGGTCGAACTATTTCCCAAAAGTGATTGGAGGTTTGGGTCGGTCTTTTGTGCATCAGCAATTAATTTGTAATTTATGGGAGAAGGGCAAACGATAGATTCGACTCTGGAAAGTGTATCGGCCGGAATATTATCAGTTCCTTTTATGTATCGAATGTCAGTGGTGAACTGGCCTATATAGTCTAATTGACGTAATTGTCTGGGGGAGCATTTTTCACTTTTCTGGAGAAAAGCGAAGGTCAATGGCTTGTGATCTGTATATAACGTGAAAGGTCTAGCTTCCACCATAAAACGAAAATGCTTAATTGCCGAGTAAGCGGCTAACAGTTTGCGATCGTATGCCAAATATTTCTTCTCCGTATCTGTAAGTTTGCGCGAAAAAAAACCTACCGGCTCTGTGCCGGCTTTAGTGACCTGATGCAGCGCGGCGCCCAGAGCGAACTCTGATGCGTCAACCTGCAACACTAAGTGTGCGTCCGGGGTTGGATGAGCTAGTAAGAGCTGCATTTGCTAATCGAGTTTTAGATTCCTTGAATGCCTTGTTTGCTTCGTCTGTCCATGAAATTTCCGCATTGTCGGATTGTTTTGTGCCTTTCAAATAGTCACAAAGCAGAGCTTGAGCCTGCGCAGCGTGTGGAATATTATGGCAGTAGTAGTTCAACATGCCTAAAAACCTACGGAGCTGCTTTACTGTTTTGGGTCGCTCGATCTTTATGACGGCTTCTACTTTCTGGGTGAGAGGTTTGATTCCACTGGCGTTGACTAAATAACCTAGGAAAGGTAATTCATTTGTACCGAGTATGCATTTATCTGGGTTTATTCGGATACCATATTCTGATAAACGTCCGAGTACTTTTTCCAGATGCACGTAATGTTCCTCCTTTGTCTTACTTGTCAACAGGATGTCATCTATGTAGACAAAAACAAAATCTAATCCATGTAAGACTTCGTGCATAAACCTCTGGAAAGTTTGTGCCGCATTGGACAACCCAAACGGCATGTATAAAAATTCATAAAGGCCGAAGGGTGTTGTAATTGCAGTCTTGGGTACGTCTTCGGGGTGGACCGGGATCTGATGATATGCTCGCGTTAGGTCTATTTTGGAAAATATAGTCTTCCTGTATAAATTCTGAGCAAAATCTTGTAGATGAGGCAGTGGGTACCTGTCCGGCACCGTTATTCGATTAAGGGCCCGGTAACCGGCCCGGTGGGACGATAGTCCCCGTTCGGTTTGGGTACTAAGTGCAGTGGGTTGGACCAATTGGAATTACTCAGCCAACAAATGCCTAGTTCTAACATTAACTGGAATTCCTTTTTTGCGATTTCCAGCTGTTTGGGGTTGAGACGGCAGGGACGAGAAAAAACGTTATGTCCTTTGGTAATAATGCGGTGGACCGTGTTATGTTTGGGTTTGGTGCTAGATGGATATGGCCGAAGGATATCTTTATATTTGTTTAAAATGTCGCTGAATTCCGAATTAGAAGCAATTAAAGTAATGTTAGTTTGCGCGCCGTGGTGAGCAGACCCTGTCGTTGTCAAGGACGTTAATGGGTCTGTAATCCGGACGTTTTTTAAGTCGATCAGGAGACCGAAGTGTCTTATGAAATCGGTGCCTATTATTGGTTTGCTGACGTTTGCGATTACAAAAGGCCACGTAAATTGGCGCCTTAAGTTTAGGGACAAGGTTATGGTTTTTGTGTCGTAAGTCTTTATCGGGGAATTGTTTGCCAAATAAAGTGTCAATGAGGCGGGTGATCTTAATGCCATGGCGGCGTTATATGGTAGAACGCAAATGTCGCTACCACTGTTGATTAGGTAGTGACGACGTGAGGTTGGATCATAAACGAATAGGCGGCTTGTGTTGTTAATTTGGAAATCTCATTGCGCCACGCGTGATTTCCGAGCTAGTTTCCCAGCTCGGAATTTGCAAGGGGCCTTACATTTATTTGCTTGATCACCGAACTTCGCGTGATACCAGCATAGGTCTTTTGCCTGGGGTCGAACAGGTGTCTGCGAACGCCGACGATTCCGAGATCGATTCCGGGGGTGTCCATAATCGCGTGATTGTCTGTTGCTGGGCCTTGCTAGGCGATTAACTTGCTCTGTTAATTCAGCAACCTGCGTTTGGAGCTTCATTATAGCCGCGTGTGTATTATTTTCGTTCCTTGCTAAATTAGTTTCAGCTATTTGCAAAGGTGTGAGCTCGAGAATTTTATCGGCCATTTGGGCTAATTTGTCTAAATCCCCATCGGAAACAGAAAGAATTGCCTGAGTTTCTTTGGGTAAACGCTGAATCCATAGCGTTCTTAAAAATTCCTCCCCGACTTTATTACTAGCTAGTTGTCGCATTTTGCGTAAAAGATGAGATGGTTTATCATCTCCTAACACGGCATTAGACAGCAAATCTTTCACTCGTTTTTGTTCGGAATCGGAAAATTCTGCTATGAGTCGATCTTTTAGTGTTTGATATAAATTTTCCCTAGGAGGGTTTTTAACGATATCGCTCACGTACGCTAACACTTCCAAGTTGAGAGCTGAAACCACTGCGTAATACTTAGTAGTATCTTGCGACATATCAGCGAGTTTAAACTGGGCCTCAATATTAATAAACCATAAATCGGCTTCTTTATCCCAAAATTGGGGAAGTTTAAGAGCTACCCGACTGATTTCTGGCTTAAGATCGCTTTCGTTTGGCATTTTAAGACAACCAGGGGATACCTACTCAGCAGAACAGCAAAAAATATGGAACAGAAAACTCCACTTACCCGTGTTAGACGACTTATTCAGGCAAGAGGTTGCAGACACACAAATGTGGAAACAATTTCGCCGGTTAGGAGTAGCGAGCGGTTCACCTATCCAAGGAGTGTCGTCTATAGTAGTCGCGGAATTTATTCCGTATTATCCACTGAGGGAACACAATGCAGTACTAGTAAAGGTCTTGTTCTTTCCTTGATGTTCGAATTCACGTCGAGTCACGTCCGGCTCACCACTGGAGGTAATGGATGGCCGCCATCAGTTAGACGAAACCTGGCCGTCTTTCTCCATCCATTTACATCTCCACAAAGACTGTCTTTATCAGAAGGTTGTAAACGTGAATTAGTTAAGTCCACGACCATGTTTTAAACTAAAACAACATTTATTTAACAACATTTAACAATCCTCGAGTACACTTGAAAGAGAGCTACACGTGCTCATGGCAGCGATCACCCGACAAGAAGAAAAAGCAACAATACCCAGAATTCTCTCTCTGGGAAAAACCCAGTTCCCGTTTTTCTATCCGGGATTCCCGGGAAACTCGTAGAGGAGTGGCGCCATCTCACCAGTCCGTGATTTGTCGCCGCAGTTCAAACAGGAATATGTAATAAATTTTGATTAAAGTGTAAACTGATGCTTAGAAAAAGGAGAATACTAAACAAGACAAACATATTTGTATATTTATGTTTGGTGGTATTAAGAAAAAATTGCAATGGCAGATAAATATGTCTGCAGCACAAGAAATATTTTTCATATTTTCTAAAGACCTCTTGTTGAGTTTGGACAAAGGAAAGCTGTTTGATAAGTTTAAAATTGCAAGTTAAAATCAGCAAATAACATGCATTGTTGCAGAAACCCACATCCACTTTCAAATTTACTTTCAAACATGATTCTCTGTAGTTAGGTTAGCCATACAAAATGACAATGGTAAATTTATAGTTTTAAAATATTTAAGCAGTTTTAAATACAAAATCTATATATTTATTATTTAATACATTAAATTACCTATATCCTTATCAGTGGCATGAACTTTTGTAACAAGAGTACCAACTTCTGAATCTTCTAATACAGCTATAGAATAGATTTCTTCTGTAAAAACTGGAGCATTATCATTAACATCACCAAGTAGAATTTCAACCTGACTAGTACATTCCCAATCTGGTCTATTTTGATCTTGAACATGAGCTTTCAAATTGTAACGAGGATGTTGCTCTCTATCCATGGCTTTTGCTGTTTTCAAGAGCCCTTTATTAAATTAATATAGGCATTTTTTAATGTATTGAAATTATCATTAAAATGTTATTTAAATCAAAAATATAAACTTAAAATTATGAACTTAATACAATATACCCTTGCTAATCAAGTCCTTAATAATTCAGCCTCTTAATAGCTTAACTATTAAGGACTTGATTAGCAAGAGTATTATCTTTCAATTATCTGGAATACCCACATTCTGATATACAGGTATCTCTTGTACAATATGGCATTTCTACAAAAGATTTTGTTCTAACAAATGTGGGTAATTGGGAATATCCCCCATACAACACAACTTCTGGTTTTGCTCTAACATGATTTGGGAAAGCTTCTGTACAAATTTTCACAACTTTTCAGTGCAAATTCTTATATTTGATATTTTTTTATACAAGTAAGCACACCTGTTATCTCAAATTATTCCACGGATTTTAGAATATTGAAATTTTCAATTTGTTTTGTGCCTCTTGTCGGGTTTTGCCTCTTGTGTCTTGCATTGCATTACAGTTGAAATGGTTTGCACACCATTTCAACTGTAATGCAATGCAATATGCAGGAGGATAACTCACAATTACCTTTTTATTTTATGCCATTTTTTGTACTTTTATGTCACACTGTTTTTTTATACATTTTTCATGTATTTGTCTGTATACCAATATCCAACATATAGTTCTTGTTTTCTTACTCTTCCATTTTGGAATTTTACCGACTTAATATTTTGTTTTAACACCTTTTCTGTGAAATTTTTCAGAATGTAACATACTATATTCCTGCAGAATACAAACATCAACTTCAGATTAGACAAATTCCAAATATTAAACAAATATGCCATTTTCCAAAAAGATGTCCATTCTATACAAATTCTCACATCAAAGACTAATTTGCATATTAGTATCTAATATTAAAAATTATGTACTATGTACATTTCTTAATAAATAGTTATTTTGACTTTATAAACAGAAAAAATTGTTTTTAATTTATTGAAACAAATCAATCTTGATTATATCTTTGATTTGTGCAAAATTTAATTATTTCATTTGGTTATCCATTTAAATTTGTCAACATCCTTTCTTAAGCAACATGACAGAATGCAACATGCAGGAGAATAATCCAAAAGTACTGATTCTTTTTTCAAAATTCCTATTTATATATTTTTCAGATGTGTCAAAGTTTTTCAAACAATATAAAAAATTATTATATGCTAACAAATTAATTCTTATACTAAAATAATTAAATGAATTTCATATCAGATACATATAGAAATGCCATCTTGTAATAACATCAATACTTGGATTAAATATAATTGGATAATTTATTACTTGATTGCTTCTAGTTCTCTCTTTTAATACAACAAACTTAGATTGCTCTAGGAATTTGTTGGCTCTTGATAGGAAGTCCTGATTTTTACATAGCACAGATCTTTTATCTTTATCTGCAACCAACAGATTTAAATGATTGCTTTCAAGAAACAATTTTACCATCTGAGTAGTTTGTATCTTCAATTTCTTGATCTTTGAACATTGCTGTGACACTAGGCTAGTTATCACAGACACCTCCAATTTAGATTATAATTCCAGATAGCAGATGTTCTTTATAGCAGCCATGGCAGGTGGAATGAATTGAGAATAATCCAACTTTGGAGTGGATATATGCTTCGGCCCTAGTAATAATATATAATAAACTGTGAAGATAGGTGCAAAATGAGAATTATAAAGATACATTAATAAATAATGATATCTTTATTTTGCATAAAATATAACAGTTCTTTGGAATACCATATCTTCTCAGTCCCAGTATACAAGTTTCTAATATATTCCATACAAAAATTGAGAGAATGAGTAGTTATTAACACTACTCTCGTGACACCAATAATTACTGAATATTTCTACAATAAATATAACCCAAACTATAACTAAAAGCTTACAGCTAACTAAATCTAAAGAAGAGGGAAGTCAGGAAACCAGTAGTTGATAAAGGGCAATAGAAGTAAGGATAGGTGAAAGTGGGTACACAATTGTCGATGGTGATCTTAGGGGTGATGAGAATTCCAAATTGTTTCCTTTCATGGGGATGACAGATAAATTCTGGTTTTCACTAAGTAGCAGTTTGCTTCAATGGTGGTTGGGAATCTCTATGATTTCTCTTTACCAAATTTTCCTTGATTCTTCTGGTGCCTCACACAATTTGTTTTTGACCTAGTTATAAACATAATGAAACCTTGAAGGAAAATAATCAGCATTGCACACTTCCCTATTAATAATAGGGTGGTGTGCCTCTAGTTGTAATTCATTGTTTTTTAATGTCTGAGTGGATGGGAGAAGGAGTGCTCTACTAATAAAAGAAGTAATTGCAGAATTTACAAAGTGTGAAGGCTGGAATACGGTTACGGGGTTAATATGTGGCACCCTGTTGTTTTTATAGTGTACAGAAAATAGCAAGTCAGGTAATCTATGTATTTACAGATCTAAAAAGGAGATTCTGGCATTCAGTTTTTCTTTTACTGTAAAGTTGGTAGTTGGATATATAGAAGCTAACATATTGAAAGTGAACAATAAGATTTATTGGTTACAGAAAACATCCTGCCATGTAAGAAGCAGAACTACAAAAGTTCCATATTATAACTTTTCAAATGCAAAGGTACCAGAGAATGTTTATTATATATTATTATTAGAGCCAAATCATATACATACTCCAAAGTTGAATTATTCTCAACTCATTCCACCTGCCATCGCTGCTTTAAAGAACATCTATCCAGAATTACAACCTAAATTGGAGCTGTCTGTGATAACTAGCCTAGTGTCGCAGCAAAGTTCAAAGACCAAAAAATTGAACATACGAACTGCTCAGATGGTAAAATTGTTTCTTGGAAGCAATCATTTAAATCTGTTAGTTGCAGATAAAGATAAAAGATCTGTGCTATGTAAAATTAGACCTTTCTAGTTCTCTCTTTTGTTCTTTGGAATTAAGCACAGAATTGCTATGGAAAACTTTACTTTATGATAAGTTTTCCATACCAATTTGTGAGATGTGAAATTTTGTTGTTGGTTTGGGTCATGAAAAATAACTTAAATATTTGTTAACAGGAAGCAATGGTTTAATATACAGAAAACAATGTACTCTACAGCAAATTCCACAGTACACAATGTATCAGCCTCAAATCTCCGTGTGACAATACTCGATCTGACACATGTGCTGGACTACTGGTACACGAGCATCTGCACAAAACACAAACATAAACATAATACGTAAGATCAGTGGTCCCCAACCCCCGGGCCGCAGACCGGTACCAATCCATGGATCAAATGGTACCGGGCCACCCAAGGAAACATTAAATTATTTCCATTTTATTTACTGTGGTATTTCCTCGGATTTGTGTGACTTTTAATGGACGATGGAACAACGAAATAAACTGGACATAAGAAACACACTTCGGGTATCATTGTCTCCTATTACCCCCAGATGGAACTGTCTCGTTGCAAAGAAACAAGCTCAAGGTTCTCATTGATTTAGTGTTCTAGTGAGTTAAAATTTTAAATCACATTATATTCATTTTTTGATGTAACTGTATATTACTTTGAAGGTATTTTTAAATACAATTAAATTAAAATTATTAAATTAAATTAATCTAAAATATAAACAATCAATGTCCCCCTAAGTGGGCCACGGTAAAATTATCAAACGTTGGCTGGTCCGCGCCGATCAAAAGGTTGGGGACCGCTGCATAAGATCATATACAGGGTATTAATACTATATTAAAAAACTAGTTTACATACTAGGAGTTACTCAACAAATAAAAGAACACAAGAAATTTTCTTCAGTAGAGGCCGATGTACATCGGGTTTCAACGGAAAAGGCAGTTGCCCTCGTCAGGTTTACCTTTGCTCAGTTCTCAAAACCTACTTTTCACTAAATCTCAGGCTGTCAGCTCTGAAGACCTTCTTGATGACACATTCCTTTAGCTACACAATTCACGTCTGAAATTGTCCATCTCGCCAGCCAAAAGGTAGTTGCCTCCCCTTTTTGTATCCCCATTCTGCCTCCCTCTACCCATTAGACCAGTCCTTCCCAGACAGGGGGTCAACTCTAGGATTGATATAACAAAGAAGCTAGTCCAAACAAATTTACACAATAATGAAATAAACTGAGACAAAAGTGTGTAACAAGAAGAGAGGAGAAAAAATATGGCAGACTGCCACATGATGGGAAAAAGTAAATTTTATTTTCTATTTTTTAAAAGGAAATGCATTTTAAGCCATGTGACTCTCATCAGTCCTTATTACGTATAATATGGTAAAACTATAATATATCTAATAATGACTGCTAGAATTGTAAGGAACCAAGTTTGAGCGTTATTTTTAGTTACTTTTATTTTGCTTTTTATTATATTTTTGTTTGGAGCTTATGTTTTGTTAGGACAAAGGTTTCCTCACCATTCACTTTAGAAACTTAAAAATAGAAGAGAAACCAACTCACCGACAAGAGAAAAGTGCCGTAGGAAAAACTCGCGCACACTTATGCTCCCAAGTGGAAAAAAGCAAGTCTGCACCAAGAAAAAGGGGGGAGACCCCACAAGCCTAACTTAGGACCTTGCTAAACCTTAAAGAATAAAAACATCCTGAAAATTGTCAAAAAGAATAATGTAAAAGGTTAGCAAGTATCATCAGAAAATAGGCTGCCAGACAAACAGAAAAGTTTGTTAGCAAATAAGTACGTAAATGAGGGGAGTGATTGCATTCAGAATTGTGACGTCACCTCACAGTATAAAGTCCGAACCTCAAGTGAAGATGGACAAGGTGAGCTTCTGTTAGCAACAAGCTTGGTGAGCTTTGTAGCAGCAAACGAGAGAGAGGTGTCCAATGGGATAAAATAGTTTCAAGGCGATTCTGAAGTTATTCGATTTGTGGATCGAAGATTAGAGAAAGTCTTGAGAGTTGAGGAAAAGGTTCCTAGTATATTGAGGTGACAATTAGGATCTTTAATTCATAAGAATTATTGTACATAAATTAAGTCTTTGATTTTTGTCGAATTCCAAAGGGGAATAGAATTAAGTTAGAAAATAGATTGATTTGAGTTTTGTCGAGTTGATTCTTATTGATTTTCATTGAAAAAATTGTTACTTGATTTTTACTAAATATTGTATATAGTTATTATTAGAATATTTATTAAATATTTGATTGTTATTGACTAACTTTGTCATTATTTAATTCGGTGCACGCTTAAAGTCCAGACCTGGCACACTAACGCGAATCCGCGTAAAGTACCCGTTAGGTAACGGCTATTTCCGGCACACAGTCGTGTCGATAATCGTTGTAGAAAGTCGGAAAAATAAATATAGTACTTTACAGAATAAATAGATGTTTAAAAACAAAGCGTAAAATCAGTAAAACTGTAAAAGTGAAAAATGTGAGTTTGCTGATGCTTGTAGAGATTAGCAGCTTAAAATCTCACTTCTCTGACACCAGTGTGATTTTGCTGACTTTCAGGGAAAATCAGTTAATCCCACATCAGGGATGATCTAAGGTCCTTTCTGCATGCGGGTGGTGGTCATGGAGGCATATAGGGAACGTGTCTTTACAATCAACTCATTTATTAAGACAAAGAATGCTTACAGAGTCTACAAATGACTCCCTCTGGGTACTGGTTCAAAAAGTCCAATGATAGTTTGAATGTGTGTTATCCCGTTGATGGATCCTTCCTGGGAAACAGTGAAGATAGACAATGTTGGCCCCGGGGCAGTATTCGTGACAATGCGATGCTGGAGAGAAGACTTAGCAATTTCACTTGCACTCTTAGTGACACAATCCAAAGGAACTGTACCCTCAATCTTGAAGTCCAAAGTTTTTAAAAACAGTTTTTCTTCCCCAATCTATCTTTCCAATTGGCAGAACTTCCCTTCCCTCATCTTGCTTCCTGATTGGTCTCTCCCTGTCTCCAGGTGAACACTGAGACCAGTTTGGGTCATGAGAAAGGTCCATTTCATAGAGAGTATTTGACACCATTCATTGACTCTGACCAGGAGATGTTGATGACACTATGAAACCTGCACTCATATTTTACTCCATTATTGCCTTTTCTCTGATATTTTAGAATTTCAACAATCTAATGCAATATACTTTTGCAGCTGTCTGCCATTTTGTTTATGTAAATTTTGTATATAGAATTAGAACTCCTTTCTTCTTTCCTATCCCCCTTCTTCCTTCCACTAATAAACCTTTCCTGTCACCTGATAGGAGCAGGAATTTCGTAGGCACTGATTGGTGGTTTGCCAACAGGGACAGGGAGGGGTCCTGCCCATGGTGATTGTTAGACACGGGGTGAGAAAAACGACCACTTTTTGGGTTCAACACCGAGAAGGCAGGTTGAGATAGACTCCTTTGGAACGTGCATGAGACAAAGATCAACATAGAGAGCCCAGATAGAAAAAGGGGACAGAGTCAAGAACTAATTGAGAGATCTGGTCTGGTGAAGTCTCAAGAAATACCTCGGTGCATATTGAGTACCCACTGCATAGTATTAAATATGATGCTAACAGAATGGATATCCACCGTGATTGACCATCAAGATCAGGATCCCCTTTGTCTAACTACCGGTAGACCCATCTTACTTTCTTTCTCTATCTTTTTCTATTAGTTGTAGTGTTAGGTTAAGGTTAATTATAAGTATAGTTATAAGTATTTTAGTTCTAATCGAATCACATGTAATCAAATTTGTTTGTAAATTTCTGAACGAGAGCACAGACTTTTTGTAATTATATCTGTGAAAATTTGTCTTTGTGACGGGCATCAGTACCTTGTTAATTAAGTAATTCAGCTAATAAATTGTTCGTTCCTCGTGGCTTGGTTATATCTTTTGTCTTGTACATTCAAACACTTTCACACTTTGACCATCAACCCTTTCCCCTTTTTCCAATTTTCTAACATACTTGTTAGATTGATTGTATATAGTGCTCGTGTCAAAGTTCCATCTCTCCAGTTCAACATTCCTTTATGATCTAACACGTCGTTTATCTCTGCATTGTTTGTTTTGACAACTACAGTTTTTTCCTCTCTCTCTCTTACATAACTTATGTGACCTTTGTTCTGTTTCAATGATAACAATTATCTTCTTTTATATAATACAATTAATTTGATTTTGAACCTTGTCTGGAACCTCACAAAAAGTAAAACTTGCTAAAACATAGAAAAATTAACAAATAAAAAAAGTAAACTTTATAAGATTTTTTGAAAAGATTATATGTCTTACCCTTTTATTTGTCAATTTTTCTGTTTGTTATTTGTTTTAGCAAGTTTTACATTTTCACTTTTACATTTTTACTGATTTTACCCTACATTTTTAAACACTTACTTATTCCAGCAATCACCATTAGATATACAGTGGAACCTCGATATATGACCTTAATCCGTTCCTGATGTTTGGACTTATACTGAATTGGACGTATACAAAACCAACCATTTCCATAAGAAGTAATGTAAAAATGATTAATCTGTTCTCGTGAAAAAAATGGCTGGCTTTAAACACTTCGCTTTCCTGCTTGATTTTTCATGAGATCAGCATGTATCTTTTTAGCTTTCTCGCAAATGTGAGAGTAGCCGGGGGTACTCTAATCCGCTAAGGATTGTTCGTACCACTTAATCAGCACAGATTATCCGAAATCTGTCTCCAGAGTTTCGGATCGAGAGATCTGATCTTAAAAGTTCTTATAGGAGGGCTGTACTATTCAATCCTAATCGCGAGATTCGGATCTATGTCAGGATTCCTGTGACACCAGTTAATCAATCTTATAACACGCGGATTAACACGCGTAAAGTAATCTTATTACGATTCAAATTAAGAGACATATCTTATATAAACCAAACAAGAGTAAATTTAATGATTCAATATAAGTAAAACTAATACAAAATATCAATGAACGAGGAATATAAATACTACCATTAAGATACACATCAAGATAAATACGAACTATCTTATAAGCTATACGAGAGGTTGAGAGATATATGGCCTTATATCTAACTGATACACGATCAAGAGAGAGAGCTCACAAAATCATTGGAAACGTACAACCTGTGTTAGTTGTTCTCATCTTCTTCTGTATTCGATGTATTTGCCGCACTTCTTGAGTATTCTGTATTCTCTTCTCTTCTTGAGAGATCACTTAAAATGAGAATGTCTATATCTATCGAAGTAATTCCTTGTATGTTGTATGGCTCATAGCATAGGCCTTTAAGAGGAAATATGTATGGAGTTTGGACACTTCCAACTCTGTTGATAAACTCCCCGAATTCTGACAAAATTCCTCTATATGTCACGATCGGTGACCAATCATCATGCAAAGAGTCCTCCGTGAGAACGGATGGAAAGGGAGATATGTGAAGGGTAAACATTTCCCATCTGAGCGGGATTTTAACCAGATAAGAGAAAGTCAGAGGATGTTCTAACTTCTGTGAAAGGAAGTAACATCTGTTATCTGCCTTTTCCCATGTTTAAAACATTATTTTCTCACCAAAAATGAATTAATATTTGGTGACAATATTTAATATTATTAATAAATTTACTAATTTAGACCCAGGGGCCTTTCAGGTCTCACACAAATAATTGCTTCTGATAAGCTGTCTCTAGCACACTGTTCTTCAGTTATCCAAAGCAAAAGCAATTTCTTAACATGGCTTAATGTCTTCGATCTCTGTTTAGAAATTGATTTAACCTCTTTCGCAATGTTAGCAGATTTAATTAATAATGTCTATTTTTCACAATTGTCGATATTGTCGTTCTCAGAATACGGTATGCAACAGTTAAAATCTCAAACACGCGTGCCACATTCATATTTCTCAACAGTCTTCTTTTTTTCAGTTCCATTGTGATTCTAGTCAGTTTTTAGTTTTCTGTTGCTTTTCATTTGCCTTTTTGCAATTTTATTACTTTTATTAATCATGATTAATAAAAGTAATAAAATTTTACATACAAATTAAAATCAGAAGAAATTTAACATAGTTATAAAATGTGGCACTGCGAACGTCTAGTCTGGCCTAGTACACCGATCGTGCTACATGTTCATAGATGGCATGTATAATTGAAGTAAGTTGTATACCGAACAAAAGTTGTATACCGAGCAAAATTTGTTTCGTCCAAACAGGACGTATTCTGAATTGGACGTATTCTAAGGCAGACGTACACCAAGGTACCACTGTATTACAGTTTTATAATATTAATCACAATAAGGACTGATGAAAAGCATATGGCTCAAAATGTATTTCCTTTTAAAAAATAGACAATAAAATTTGCTTTTTTTCATCAGAAAGTCTTCCTGTATGATAACTTCTCCATATCAATTCTATGCTTAATTCTGAAGAAATGTATAATTTACATTATTAGTTAAATTAGTAAATTTGTTTACCAATTAATTAATTTAAAAGCATAAATATTATAAGGATGAAAAGCTGAAAATTAACTTTAATTTGTTTAGCAATTTAAATGTTTATCTTGGATTAAACATGTTTTGTTATTTTTTTGACTTGATAATTATGGAATCAGTAATTGGAATAAAGACCACAAAAAATTTAGTAGTTGTTATTATTTGGAATTAATTTAACAGAGTTTATTAATAAAATGTTTATTAATCAATAGAGAAAACCTAATTGAAAAAAGTTAAGTAAATGTAAAATTATGTATATTCCTCCTCCTTTTTATTTTCTTATAATAGTTTAATCATAACTCAATAATAATGTTATTTAAATTATATAAATTTGTAAAACAAAGAACATCATATAAAATTATTTTTATTTGCCAACCTGATGAAGAATCAATGAGAAAATCTTCTGCTCCATAACCAGACAAATAATATTTTAAATGTGCATTCCTAAAATCATCTGCATCAGTTGCTTGGACAGTTAGGATATAAGTGTCAGCAGCAATGCTTTCAGATACAAGTTCTGTGTATTTTGACTATTAAAAAAAATGTTTAAATTAATATATACAATTATGGAAATTAACTACAGTAGAGCATCGATTATCCGAATATCGATCAAATGAAACGTCAATTAACCGAAAGCTTTCCGGTCGGCAAATTTAAATTTCCTCTAGTGCTGTGGCGCTGCAATCTTTGGCTATGTCTTGGGCTACTCCAATATTATTTTTGTTGATGTGTGTGTTTTAGCTGGCAGCATGGCGCAACCATCAGAGGATACTTAAGGATGTGCCAGGATTTGAAGGAATTTCAAATCCTGGCACAAGATAAGTTAATATATATTTTCATACATAATCGATTATCCGAAAAATCGATTTTCCAAACAATCCCAGTCCCCAGTTGATTTGGAATATTGATGCTCTACTGTAGTAATATTAGTAATCAATGTATAAATTCAAACTTTTATAATTACTATATCTTTATTAAAAAGTATATTAACTTGGACACTGTCAAATTATCCAGTCATATACTATATACTTTCCATAAAAGATTGTTGCATCACAACTATTACTGGGTTGCAAGTGACAGGTGAGACTGAAAATACGAGGGCTGTTCAGAAAGTTCGCGGCCTTGCCTATATGCGGCGCTGCAATCAATTTTATTTTTGGCGGGAATAATTCAGCCATCTTTGCTAGAGATACGATACCAATATCAACTTAATTTGTCATAAAGTTTTGCCACGACAGCTTAGCAGATAGTCAGTGTGCACATGCTTTGTCAAAAATAGAGAAGACGGAGACTCATGCAGTCATAAAATACCTGACGAAAAAAGGGTTGACCCCATCTCAAATCAAAGCTGACATGGATGAAGTTTTGGGAGAGTCTGCTCCTTCGTACACCACTGTGAAAAAATGGACAGCCCTTTTTAAATCTGGCAGAGAGAGTGTGAAACATGACCCTCGCAGCGGACGGCCGTCAACTGTTGTCACTGAAGAAAATATCGACAAAGTTCATGATTTGGTATTAGCAGATCGCTGTTTGAAAACGCGTGAGATAGCTGAGGCAACAGGCATCTCTGTCGACCGAGTGCACCACATCCTAACCAAAGATTTGGGTATGACGAAAGTCTCAGCAAGGTGGGTGCCGCATCTGCTGACCGCCGAGCAAAAACGTGTTTGCACTTTGATGTCAAAGTAGTGTTTGGACTTCTACCAGAAAAACCCACAGGATTTCTTGCTTCAGTTTGTGACTACTGACAAAACGTGGATCCATTACTACACTCCTGAAACAAAAGAACAGTCGAAGCAATGGAAACACCCCAGTTTGCCACCACCAAAGACGGCAAAGACAGTTCCATCAGTGGGGAAAGCAATGGCCTCTGTTTTTTGGGATGCTAAAGGCACCATCTTTATCGACTACCTAGAAAGAGGAAAGACCATTAATGCTATCTATTACTGTGAACTTTTGGAAAAACTGAAGAAAGAAATCAAAGAAAAGAGGCCACACTTGAAGAAGAAAAAAGTTCTGTTCCACCACGATAATGCACCTGCACATTCCGCCAGAATCACTGAACAAAAGATAAACGAACTTCGCTTCCAATTAGTTCCACATCCACCGTACTCACCTGATTTGGCCCCCAGTGACTTCCATCTTTTTCCAAACCTAAAAAAATTCTTGGCTGGAAAGAGATTCCACTCAAATGACAAAGTCATCTCCGAAGTGAACGAGTATTTTACACACCTTGACAAATCGACCTATTGTGATGGCATAAAAAAGCTAGAACATCGCTGGAATAAGTGCATTGCTAACAAAGGAGGCTACATTGAAAAATAAAAGAAGTTTTAACATTATTTTGTTTGTCGTTCTATTTGAGGCTTCGAACTTTCCGAGCAGCCCTCGTAATTGAAAAAGTAACCACATGGTAAACAATAAGTACATCAGTACACCCAACAGCAATGCAGTAGTTAACTATTATTATTGAATTATCATATCTTCAACTTCCAAATAAGTATGAAAATCTCTTTGATACTCGATTTAGCTGTCATACCATCAACAAATTTATTCAGACTACATGAGTTTGCAAGACAATTATAAAAATTGTTCTAATTCTACAACTGTTCAACTGTTTTTAAGAAAACGAACGTGCAGGATGTTCCAAAAGAACATAATATTTAAATTCAAACAAGCGTCCGGAAATTCCGTTACGAACGTGCGAATGATTTTTGATATTTCGAATCTTTATATTTTACGATGCTAGCGGCGCATGCGTGGAGATGCTACCGCGCTGGCGATACAATGTTGGGCGCATTTTGTTTTTTAGGTGCCAATACAAGGCAATCCACACCCCGGGTAGATCGAGGGTGGGAACATTGCATGCTTCTGAAGTGGCCGTGAGAAGCACTTCCCAGATGAACACAAGCCTTCGATTGTTGCAGCATTTAATTATTTCCGTTCTGGGCCATAACTGGTTGTATCCTTGCTCGAGAACTTTTTTAGCGAGCTCTGTAGAGCATCTTCCTTTAGCTATGTCTTCCTGATGCTCAGCAAGGCGGGAGGCAAGCATTCTTGTTGTTGCTCCTATATATCTTGTAACATCGCCCGTTTATTAACGCCGTATTCAGTGAATTTACTAACGTCATTCCTTAGATTTACTACCTCAAAAAACTGGATTTCCTCTTAAATGCACCAAAAAACTCACAAATCCAGCACTTTAATTTTAAACTTTAAAATCCACTTCATTCCTTACAATCTTTCCATGGATTGTTATTTGTATATAATTTTACAAGACACTGTATACAAAAACTTTAATCATATGTGTAAAAATAAGAATGAATTTAACAATGTAATACTCAAACTAATAAGCAACTCAATGCAGATCAAAGACAAAACAGATCAAAACTAAATAAGAAACCCACATCAAAATAGAAAAAACTGATAATGTACATATTTTCCACATTTTTTCCCCTTTTTCTTGAAGAAATTTGTTATGAGATTTTCTTTCTTGTCAATGTTCTGTAGCTGAGCTGTTTATTTACTTACTGCTTTTTTCCCTCCTCCTTAAGTACTTAAATGCCTAGTAGCATAGCTTCAGCAATTTTAGGTTTTGCCAAATATTTTTTTCTACAGCTACTTTAAGCTTCTTACTTGCTTCAAAAAGTTTTTCATTTGTTATCTTCTCTGCCTCCTACTTTTTAACTTCATTTCAATTTTCCTGAAGTTTATCAATAGATTATTTTGTTTTATTACATCTTCCTTCTGTTTCTCTTCCATAAACTTTTGCTATTCTTCCTCTTATTTTTGCTTCTGAGTCAATTGTTTTTTCATTCTTTTCTTTTCCATATGAACTATTTGAGATGCATAGATTGCTTGCTGATACCAACAATTTCTTTGTAATTGTACATATTGGTATATACAGTAACCTCTGATTTATTATTATATCCTTTAGCATAACTTATATGTTCATCTGCCATTTACCTTCTTAACATCCACACATGCCTTGTCACCTGTCAAAATTATTCCAGATTAAGTACCTCTTTCCACATTTATACTTCCATGAGATAATGTTAAAGAAGCTTGAATGACTACTGATATGAAAGTATTTCAGATTCCAAAAAGTTTTCAGGACAAGATGTTTATTGAAATCAGGAATGAACATCTAAAGGAGCTGAGTTTGTTCCACAATGGCTTTCTTACTATTGTTGCTGTGTCTAATAACTCGGAGACAAGGTTAAAAGAAAGAATGACAACTAAGTTTCATCATGAAAACTAAACTGTACATCTGAACTCATTGGTCATCAAATGATGACAATTGATTATTCAGACCCTTTTTAAGAGGGTAATGACTCATACCACCCAAGGTTCATTTCCGGTGGTCATTGTCACAATAAGAGTAGTAGTGTCTTCAACAGAGTATCTTCCCAGTGAGGAATAAACAATATGACTGATGCAGAACAATTTTCATGATGTTACATTGTAGTCAAGTTTAGGAAAATGAACATGATGGTGTGATAATCTTGCGAAATACATGTTGACTGACAAAGGAGAATGTACCAAACAAATACTAGGCACAGTATATGGTTAAACAAAGTATTTTATTTTGCAGAACATGTACAGATTCTTTTAGATTCCAACTCAATGGTAAATAATTACAACACAGCTGCAACAGATATTAATGGCAGACAATGATAAAATATGCACCAATCGCAACATATACTAAAAAACGATATCAAACTAGTACTTACAAACTAACTTAAACAAAGGGAAGAGAGAAGATAACAGGAAAAATAATAAATATTGAAATAGGATATTGGAAAAAATGAAATACCCAGGATGTACAGAACTTTGCACAATTCTGGAGGGAGGGCACATGGAACTTGCTCGGACTGATGACTCATCATCTTCTCTAGATTATCCGTTATACTTAGTCGATACTCCTTTTATCATGACTACAATAAAATTCAAATTCCTATCAAACTAGCACTGTTCCTCCAGTCTAGCTGCTCTTGACAACACGGAGCACCATCTTCCATATCCGTCCACTCTGAGGTCCAGTCCAAAGAATGTTCCACACCCTCTCACTCATGCCCTCTGATCCTCTTTCTGTTTTCTGTAGTTCCACAAATCGGTCCTCACCATCCAAGGAAAAGAATTAGAAAAGAAAGTTCTAGAAGCAAGAAGGAAAAAAAACAAAGGGAAATATTCTAAAACTATTAAATTAAAATATATGAAGCACACAATGTCATAATGTTGTAAATGCCAAAAAGAAACTTTTCAGTAGAGGTAAAAAACACTTTTTCTAATGAATAAATTCATTTCAGTTTTATATAAAGTCAACTGCACATCGGGTTGTATACAATACATTAAATCTGACTTACAGAACCTGTAACCGATGCGTATCCAATTGTTCATTCAACAACCAAACATTTTCATAACCAGATTGGAATTCATAACCAGATAATCCAGATTGGAACTAGAGATGGAACAACACAGTAACACCAGAGTACATTTCCTGGATTTGGACATAAGATTTGATGGTTCCATCATCCGCACATCGGTTTTTCGCAAACC